CACACACACACACACACGCACACACACACACGCACTCACACACAGGCATATGGTCTCTCTGCCTCTCACACGTGCACACACACGCATGTGTGTGTTGTCATGTTCGCCATAGAGGACTGCACAAAAAAAAAGCATGAATGTGGGTGTCTGTATGAGAGAGAGACAGAGAAAGAGAGGATTTTTGGTTTAATTGCTTTTCTCTGTTTTCTTTTTTTTTCCTTTTTGTTTCGCAAGCTTGTTTTCGATAAGCGTTCGGTGAGACTCCGTGAGAGGAGTGACAGCACCATGCCTACCATTTCCCGACGCTCTCACAAACAGAGAATATGTCAAGGCGTGGTCTTCCTTTGTTATATTTTATTATCTAGAAAGAATTAAGGCTTTTCATTTAAAAGTGGAAGGGAAAAAAAAAAAAAAAAACAAGAAAGAAAGGGGTAAACAGACAAGCCGCCGCGAGAACACACACACACACACACACACACACACACACACACATACACACACAAAACTCGAACATACAGAAGGGAGCGATAAAGGGAGGAGCTCACCAGCGGAGACGTTGGAGTACGAGCGTTCAGAAGAATCAGAGCTCGCAATAGGGCAACCGCCGGGCGGATTTGAGCCCCTGGACGAGAACGGCGGCACCTTGACCAGCGTGCGAGCAGGCGCGATGAGGAGCTCGGGAAGGAAATCTGTGCAGGTGCTGTTACTTCACTCTTCCTCTCACATGAGAGAGGAATGGAAACCATAGGTGATTGAGAAAGACCCTGGTTACCTGTAGGGAACCTACGGACCACAGAACTCAAAAGCAGCCATGAGCTTTTGTGGACAGGACAACAGGATGCCACAAAACAGAATCGCAGAAGGGACGCCGGGCGCTGTTCCCACGATGTGCTGCTCCCCAGAAATAGACTGGAGCCCTGCTTTTTTGGGGGGGCAGGGAACGAAAGGAAAAGAAAAAAGGAGGGAAAAGTAACTACCGCTGTCACGGTTTCAGTTCGGAAATGCGTTTCAGTCACGATTTCGCGAATGTTGTGCCAAACCTAGAGAGGAAAATCGTGAATCATTGGTGAATGTATACAACCCAGCTTTAGGATCCGGGTGGGGATGTGCTGTATTCGAGGGATGGCTGAACTGGATTAAAAACTGAAATCATGACCGTGCCGGCAATAAACGGAAACAAGATGTCGGAGGACAATGTGCCCTTTTCTTTTTTTTTTTCTCAATGTGCCCTTTTTGTTTTGGGAACAAAAGGGGAAAAGGGCTAATTCCAACCAATCCAATTACCTGTCAAATCTGGACAGGACTGCCTCTCAGGCCTTTGCGACGGCCATTCAGGACTGTTTTATTATCATTGTCATTGTAGTATTACGGGCAACCCCGTGGCAGCCACATAGGCGCTCAACGAGGGAACATGTGGGAGCTGCACCCACCAGCAGGTGTGATACCTGCTTCAGCAGGGGGGCTATAGCGGCTTAGGGGTCAGCTGTTAGCATCAGGACCGAGCTACTTCGATGGGCCAGTCGCTGTGCCTCCCCTCCGGTCCCCTCCCCCAACGAACATCAGCAGTCTCAGCTCAATGCCTGTCCGGGGGACCAACGACCTATCTCGAGGGGGAGGGTGCCCAGCTTGCCCACGATGGTACATCAGGCTAATAGGGAATAGGGATTGAAGTTCATTGAACCCCAGACCCTCTGCATGCAACTTGTGTGCCTTACCGACTAAGGTAGGCCGCTCGATCAATGTGCCCTTTTGTGAAGGGGGGAGTGCAAGCCCCTATTTTTTTTGTTCTTTTTTTACACCCCTTACTTTCCTCTTTTGAAAAAAAGGGCGACGGCCTTGAGATGACATAATTGAGCAGACCAGCGCCAGGAAATTCATATATACTTGGTTTTATTCATAAAGTATTAAAGTTCCATCATTATCTGGATTTGAATTCCTGTGTGTAGTTTAACAGTTCATGGGTCTACCCACTGTGCTACAGTCTGCCCCAGAACAAAGCGCAGGTATGCGCTTTATTGGAAATCCAAATAGTACGCTTGTATGTTCTATTCGAATAGTATGCACGCGTGTTCTATTTGGATAGTACATATAGAACGTCGTGCTCCTTTTCAAAAACGCGCGCCTTGCAGTGCTCCGCC